CTAGCAGCGTTTCTAGTCATTTAATAGATAGGCTAAAGTAGCATACTCTAAAATCAAAAGACACCCACCTGGCATCGTGCCCCCTTTTTGAAAGAGCAGCCACATGTGACAACTTATCTTCACTTTATAAGGAATATCTCAACATGCACCACACTACTTTACTCCTAGAAATTTCACTAAGAAGGTGCCTAAATTTTTGTCAGGTTAATTTCTCATCTTCTAGCATATAGATGTCTTACCAATAAGTCTAAAGTCATTGATACTTCTTCCTTACTAGGTCCAATTGGGATAAAATAAAATGTAGTGAACTAGTGTCACATCTTCTGAAGGGAAGAACGATCAACGTCCCTGTGGGCTAAATTATGACATAGGACTGTAGAGTTGCTATATCTTGAAGTAGGACTGTGAAGGTGTATTGCTGGCCTACAAGCTGAGGACAGGCTGCTTCTGGTGATCCTTTGATACAGGTATGGAGAAAGCATTAGCCAGATCAATAGATGCATACCAGGTACCAAGAGTGGTGGTTATGTTTGTGTGTCAGCTTGGCTGGGCCTGGTTGAGTGGCTGGGCAGCTGGTGGTAGTTATTCCCCATGATGAGACTGGCGGTCATCTCCGTGGTGGGATCTATCACAAGCAGCTCAGTAGCTGCTTTGGGTGTGTGGTCTGCTTCCTGTATATAAGAATTATCTTTGGGAATAGTCTCTAGCTTATAGCATCTTCAACCCTGCATGTGGCCATGTTGTTACTCAGCAGCCTGCCAAGCTCTGCCGATGTAGGGACTTAAAATGGACTTAAATTAATGGCCTGCTATGTGGTTTGGTAACATCAGGACTATGCCTTTTTACTTGTCAACTTTGGGTTTGTCAGCCTCAGCAGCCAGCGGCTGTCTGAGTGAAGAAATGCCTCTAGCAGTGGGCCAGGAGTAGGAGGCAGTCCTGGATACATTCAGCAATGTCTTGAAAGATGTCTGCCTTGGGCGATGTCCCAGGCAATGCCCCAGGTACCATCTCAGATAGAGACTCTTCAGTCACAACTGGGTTAATCTCATCAAATGGAGGTGTAAAGGATAATGTTTTCCTGGAGTGGGTGGCTTAGATGCAAATGGTGAGATCTCTTCAGATTGGAGGAGTGGTGCTTTTGGTAGGAGTGATTCGTTGTAATTTAGACACCTTCCTGGTTGTCTGTAGAAGCTGTTGAATCCCAAAATCAGCAGATCATAGGCAAGCCACTAGCTCAAGTCCCAAGACCAGAAGTCAAATGCTGACAGGCCAGATAAAGGATCCAGAGCAAGGGAAAGCTTTGCCAAAGCATCTATATACGTATTAGATGCAGGTCACACATCTAAGGAAACTTTGAGTAAGGACATGACTTGTGTGAGGTTGTGATTTGAGTCATGCCCTTTTGTAAAGCTGTTACCCACAATAGATCCCTCACTAATCTCACCTCATTAACATATAGAGGTTAGGATTTGCAACAGAAAGTGAATAATTACCTAATTTGCATAATATCACAAGATAGAGGATAATAACTTGATTACAAAATACAAAACGAAATAATACTGGGACTCCTGGCCTAGGCAAGTTGACACATAACATTAACTATTATAGTGTTATTTTTTTTAATTATGTACAGTGTGTATTTTAAAATCTGAAATAATTATTGATAATGACTTTAAAAAAAAATCCAAGTCTGGAAAATTCAGCCTCCTGACAGATCTCTGAGGATGAGTGAGTAGATCCATCAGTTTAGTAGCCTTTGACTAAGAGCTCATGAGTGTTGTGGTGGTGTTAGGTGCCATCGGGTTGGCTGCAACTCATAGAGACCCTGTGTACAAAAGGATGAGACACTGCCCAGTCCTGTGCCGTTCTCAGTGCTTGAACCCACTCTAGCCACAGTGTCAGTCCACCTCATTGAGGGTTTTCCCTTTTTCTCTGACCCTCTACCAAACATGATATCCTTCTCCAGGGAATAGTCCCTTCTGACAACATAACCAAAGTAGGTAAGAAGTCTGGCCATTCTCGCTTCCAGGGAACATTCTGGCTACTTCCTCCTGAACAGATTTGTTCATTCTTCTGGTAGTCCATGGTACTTCCAGTATTCTGTGCCAACACAACAATTCAAAGGCATCTTCAGTCTGCCTTATTCATTGTCCAGCTTTCACATGCATATTGTTGTTGTTATATGAGGTGATTGAAAACATATGAGTTGGGCACACCTTAGCTTTCAAAATGACATATTTGCATCTTAATACTTTAAAGAGGTTATTTGCAGCAGATTTGCCCCATGCAATATGTGTTATTTCTTGACTGCCGTTACCATGAGTGTTGATTGTGGATCCAAGTAAGATGAAATTCCTGACAACGTCAATCTTTTTTCCATTTATCATAATGTTGCTTATTCATCCAGTTGTGAGGATTTTTTTTTTCCTGTTGAAAGGTGACCTCAAACTGTAGTCTTTGATCTTCATCAGTAAGTGCTTCAAGTCATCTTTACTTTCAGCAAGCAAGGTTGTGTCATCTACATATTGCAGGTTGTTAATGAGCCTTACTCCAATCCAAATGCCATGTTCTCCTTTATATAGTCCTGCTTTTTGGATTATTTGCTCAGCATACAGATTGATAAGTATGGTGAAAGGACACAACTCTTACTTACACCCTTCCTGATTTTAAACCATGCCATATTTCCTTGTTGTGTTTGACAGACTGTCTCTTGATCTATGTATGGGTTCCTCATGAACACAATTAAGTGTTCTGGAATTCCCATTCTTGTCAATATTACCCATTATTTGTTATGATCCACACAGTGAAATGCTTTTGCATAGTCAGTAAAACACAGGTAAATATCTTTCTGGTGTTCTTTGCTTTCAGTCAAGATTCATCTGATGTCAGCAATGATATCTATCCCTCATTCCACATCCTTTTTTGAATCCAGCTTTAATTTCTTGAAGTTCCCTGTCAATATAATGCTGCAACTGTTTTTTTTTTTTTAATTATCTTCAGCAACATTTTACTTAAATGTGATATTCATGATATTATTCTTTAATTTCCATATTCTATTGGATCACCTTTCTTTGGAATGGGCACAGTGGTGGTTAAATTTGTATGTCAACTTGGCTGGGCCTTGATGAGTGGCTGGGCAGCTGGTGGTGGTTATTCCCCATGATGAGACTGGCAGTCAACTCCATGGGGGGACCTACCACAAGCAACTGATGTGGTCTGGGATGTGGTCTGCTTCCTATATATAAGGAGAAGCCTTGGAGACAGTCTCTAGCTTATGGCATGCTTGAGCCCTGCATGTAGCTATGTCGTTGTTCAGTAGCCTACCATGCTCTGCCGACCTTGGGACTTTGAATGAACTTGAATTAATGGCCTGCTGTGTGGTTTGGTAACATCAGGGCTGTGCCTTTTTACTTGTCAACCTTGGGTTTGTCAGTCTCAACAACTAGCAGTTGTATGAGTGAAGAAAAGCCTCTAGCTCCAGTGGGCCGGGAGCAGGAGACAGAGCTGAACCCCAAGGTTGAGGAGCTTTCACCTATCCCTAGAGCCTGGCACTCTGAACTTGGACTTCTAGCCTCCCAAACTGTAAGAGGATAAACTCCAGGTTGTTCAAGGCAACCAGAACAGGCACATATACTGTTCTCATCCATTCAGTTGGCCGGGTAGCTGTCTTTGGTACTTCTTGTCGTAAACAAGGAAGTACCTGCAGTGCTGCATCTATATGTTGAAATAAAAGCTCCCCGGTAAATCATGCAAACTCCAAAACCTGCAACCCAAAATAGCCTCCTTCCATCTGTTGTTTCCTGTTAAGTAGTTATACACATTAGCCAAATTTGACCTCTGTGTTAGCCCTACATTGTTTACTTTGTAACAGCCTGAGGCCTGTTAGCCCACAGAGCCCCCTAGCACCAAACTCATTTTTACACATCTGTTTAAAAAACAGTCCAAGGAATGTCATTTTGAGCTGCTTAAAGCCTGTTTTACATACCCTGTGAAACTGCACCCTAATATCCCTTGTTGTTTGTTGCCATTGAGTCAGCTCCAACTCATGGTGACCTGATCTATCATAGAATGAAACTTTTCCAGGTCCTGTGCCATCTCCATGATCTTTGACATGTTTGAGCCCATTGAGCTCTAGGTAAGATAGAACTCTGGTTAGAAGGATCCCAGGCTGATGGTACCCTTGAGTTCTCACAAAGACATCACCAAGGCACATGAAAGCCCTTCTTTTTCCTCCTCTCTCCTAATAGTTATCTTGCCCCCTTCCCCTTCAGTGGCTCCTTGAATTGCTTGCCTCTGGAAAACCTGCTATGGAGGGTGTTTTGGTTACATAATGCCACTCTTGACAGGAATATACCACAAATGGAATGGATTTAACAAACAGGAGTTTATCCTCTTACAGTTTTGGAGGTTAGAAGTCTGAGTTCCATATGCCAGCCTCTAGGGTCTGGGTGAAAGCCCCTAGACCTTGGGCATCAGCTCTGCCTCTTGCTTCCAGCCCACTGAACTTAGAGGCATCTCTTCACTCAGGCAGGTGCTGGCTGCTGAGGCTGACAAACTCAAGGTCAAAATGAAGAGGCACAGTCCCGATATTACCAAACCACATGGTAAGCCATTAATTCAAGTCCATTAAAGTCCCAAGATCAGCAGGGCAACACGACAGGCTGTTGAACAGCAACTGAGCTATGTGCAGGGTTCAAGCGTGCCATCAGCTGGAGACCTTCCTCAAAGTTGCTTCTTATATACTGGAAGTAGGCCACATCCCTAAAGCAGCTAGCTACTCAGCTGCTCCAATAGATTCCACCATGGAGTTAAATTACCAGTCTCACCATTGGGAATAACTACATCCAGCTGCCCAGCCACTCGGCCCGGCCCAGCCAAGTTGACAACAACCTTAATTACCACAGGGAGGTCACCCCATTACACAGCTGTGAATGCATCAGCCCCATTAAATAGTTAGTTGTACAATGCTACTATAAGCATTTTCTTTTTCCTTTCCCCAGATTATTGCTTTTGTCCTGGAAGGAAAAAGATCCAAAGTCATTCGGCGACCCAAGGCCAGTGATTACCAGCGTTTGGACCAGAAGGTAAGGAGGGAAGAGCCAGGTCCATGGAAGGGATGTGCAGCCTCAGATCGGTCTAGCCTCTGACATGACAGCAGTAGATGATTCTGGGGGTGCTGTTGCCTTTGCCCTGGCTCTTTTCAGACCACAAAGTAGATATTCATATATATCTGTATCTATATAATATACAGTGGTAAAGCTGAAAGCCACCTTGAAGTACTGTATAGTCACTCCCTTTCCTTGACAGATAAGGAAAGTGGGGCCCAGGATCTAAGTTCTCACTTCAGTTGGGTGGCAATATCAGGTCCTGATAGCAACTCCCTAGACTCCCAGTCATGTGTGTTTTGCCAGCGCTTTGAACCTGTTTTTCCCAGTTCAGTCATGGCCAACTAAGCAAAGCTGGAACATACCCAAATGTTTTTTTGGGTTTTTTTTTAATACATTTTGAAATATATATACAGTGAAATACACAAAACTAAAGTGACATGGGTTGATGCATTCATTTCTTTCTTTTCTTTTTTCTTTTTTCTTTTTTTTTTTTTACAGTGTTCCCTCCCTTCCTTCCCACCCCGGCAACCAACAAAGTTTCCTTCCATATATAAACTTTTCCTTGCCCTCCACAACAATGAATTAATACTATATTTGTCCTTCTGTGATTGACTTACTTCACTTAGCATAATGTCCTTCAAGTTCATCCATGTTATGCACTGTTTTGCTGACTCTACATTATTCTTTAGTGTTGGGTAGTATTCCATTGTGTGTATGTACCATAGTTTGTTTACCCATTCTTCTGTTGATGGGCATGTAGGTTGTTTCCATCTTTTTACTGTTGTAAATAGTGCTATGATGAACATGGGTGTGCTTATATCTGTTCCTGTCCTGGCTCTCACTTCTCTAGGATATATGCCTAGTAATGGGATTGCTGGGTCAAATGGTATCTCCAGTTCCAGCTTTCTAAGAAATCACCATACTGCTTTCCACAGGGGTTGTATCATTTCACAGTCCCACCACCAGTGTGTGTATGAGAGTCCCAATCTCCACATCCCCACTAGCATTTGTTATTTTCTGTCTCATTGAACCTTGCCATCAGTGCTGGGGTGAGATGGTATCTCATTGTTGTTTTGATTTGCATTTCTCTGATGGCTAATGATCGTGAGCATTTCTTCATGTGTTTGCTGACCACCTGAATATCCTCCTTGATGAAGTGTCTATTCCTGTCTTCTGCCCATTTTTTCAATTGGATTGTTAATTGCTTTGCTGTTGAGGCATTGGAGTTTTCTGTAAATCTTAGAGATAAGTCCCTTGCCAGATATGTAATTATTGACAAGTATGGATTTGTTGTTGTCATTTGTTACATGCTTTTTCATGGTGTTGATTTCTTTGTTCCATATAATTTTCTGTGTTGAGCTCGTTTTGTTCATGAATCATGTTATCACTTCCTTCGTTGCTGTTGTTTTAGTATTTTCTAAATATTTGTGCTGGTCCTCTTTTTTCATTTTGATGTGAAGGTTTATCATTTTTCTTTGAGGTTACCCTGTGGTTTATAGTTTTCTTCCTAAGTATAGAACAATCCGTTTTATCTTGTAGTTGTCTTGACCGCCCTACCATTTAGAAGTTCTGTAACTGCACAGTTTTTCCCCTCTTTTTGGTTTGTAGTGCCCTCATTTGCCATTTGATGTCTCTGGTTCCCTGTTTACAATCTCGTAGGCTTATTTACTTTGGATACTTCTATAACTGGGTTGGTTTCTGGGGTATGTCATCATGTGTGTTAATGGTCAGGTATTGTTTGCTTTTGTTGGTTCTGTGTCCAAAGGACTCCCTTTAGCATCACTTGTAAGGTTGGTCTGGTTCTAACAAATTCCTTTAATTTCTTCTTATCTGGAAATATCCTAATTTCACCATCAAATTTGAGGGACAGTTTTGCTGGGTATATAATTCTTGGTTGGAAATTTTTTTCCCTTTCAGGGTTTTATATATACCATCCCATTTTCTCGCCTGCATGGTTTCTGCCGAGAATCTGAACTTACCAGTTGCCTCTTGTAGGTAACTTTTTGTTTTTCCCATGCTGCTTTCCTGATTCTTTGTTTGTCTTTGGTTTGTGTGAGTTTGATGATGATATGTCTTGCTGATTTTCTTTTGGGGTCTATCCTGTTTGAGGTTCTTTGGACTTCTTGAATGGATATATTCTCATCTCTCATCATAGTAGGAAAATTCTTTTCCAACAAATCTTCAACAGTTTTCTCTGTGGTTTTGTTTGTCTCTTCCTGTTCTGGAATTTCTACTATGCATAGGTTATTCCTTTTGATGGTATCCCACATGAACCTTAGGCTTTCTTCATTTTGTTTTGATATTTTTTCTAATTGATCCTTTTCCAAAGAAGTATTCAGGTATTTGTCTTCAATATCACTAACTCTGTCTTCCATTGATTTAATTCTACTCTTTTGCTTGTTCAATGTGTTACCTATTTCTGAAAATTCAGTACTCATCTTTTGCATTTGTGTCTGTAGATTTTGTATCATTTCTGTTTTTCATTTATTCTGTCGTTTTGTCCTTGTATTGTCTTTCAAAATTGTTCTCTGGTCTTCTCTGTGTTTTCCTCAATTTTGTCAGTGTTTTCCTTGATCTGTCTCTCGAGTTGTTGAAGGTACTTAAATATAATTCCTTTGAATTCCTTATCAGAGAGTTCCAATGCTGCGTCTTCCTCAGGGATATGTTTTGGGTCTGTATCCTGGTCCCTTGTTTCTCCTGCTTTATCTTCTTTGTGTGGACTGTGATGCTCTATTGTCTCCAAGGCATTGTGACGTTTTTATGTTTGTATTTAATTGGTGATTGTATGTTGGAGTGACTTGCCCATGATTTTTGTTTTCTTTGTATGTTACCTACATAAGCAGGGTAATGTGCTGTGCTCCTCTATTCACTAGTTGGCAGCATTTGTACACTCGCCACCTGTCTCCTTTCCCGTTGTCAGCTTCCTATATGTCCCTGCTATCCTTGGCAAACAGAGCCTATTCTTAGGTTCCTGGAATCAGGATGAGAGGGCTGTCACTTTAAAATCCAAAATAGATGCCACTTACAAGCATTCAAAATGGCTGTGCCCCTGGTCACTTTAAATATCAAAAATGGCCACTGCTTGTAAACATTCAAAATGGCTGTGCCCTCGGTCACTTTAAATATCCAAAATGGCCACCACTTGTAAACAATCAAAATGGCTGCGCCCTCTGGACCGCTGAAAGTCCACAACTCAGGTTGTCTCCCTCCTTGCTGTTGCCTTTCCTAGTCATAGGCTACCAGTGCAGTCATCCCTGCAGCCCTGGTGACCAGGGCTAATCTTTAGGTCAATTGTCAGGTCCCAATACTACTTGGAGAAATATTCAGGCTATTGTTGCCATCAGAGTAGCTGACAGTCCGCAGCTTTGACTATCTCTATACTCACTGTTTTCATTCAGGTTTTTCCACTAGTTGGTGGTGCCTAATCTACTTCTGTATACTTCCTCAAAGCTCAGGGTCTGGGATTATATTCTGTATATTTATCATTTGATTTCTCTTTTCTTTGTTGAAGAGGGTCTGTTTATCTTGTCCATCTGTTCCTCCACCTTACTGGAAGTCTAAGTAACCAAATCTTTTAATAAGCAGGGCTGGAGATAGCAGTGCTCCACTCAAAGATGGCAGCTGATGGCCCCACTTTGAATGTGTGGTGCTCTCCACAATCCTGTCAGTGATCCACTCTCCCATATCAGATTCCCAAAAGGGCTTGCTTTTCCTCTTTTGTGTCTTCCATTCCAGGACTTTGGCCCTTAATTTTTCCCATTCCAGTTACTGTTTCACTTCATCCAAATTTTGCAATTACAGATCTGTTCCAGTTGTACTGAGTCAGCCGTGACTGAACTGGTTGAAAGCCCTTCACTACCCCAGTGCTTCACCAGTGTTATTAGGCATACAGGTCACCTTTAAATTCTTGATACAAAGCAAATTCTGATTCACTAAGTCTGGGTGGAGCCTGTGCACCTACATTACTAAGAAGATCCCAGGTGACATCAAGTCACCAGGAACCACACTTACAGTAACAAAGCACTAGATTCTCTTCTCTCCAACTCTCTAGATCAGCCCTGTCTTAAACATAAACCCTCAGACCTGTAGACTCAGTTTCCTGAGTACAGCAGTCCATGGCCTCTGCCAGAAATAAAAGCCCTCCATGTACCCCAAAGCAGCAAGAGCTGTTTCTGTGACTGGCAACAATGGAGTCTCATTGCCCTGTTACCGCACGTCTTGCTCCTGCTGTTTAGCCACAGTGAGGACATTGGCAATGAACAATTAGTACCTAATGGTGAAGTATTCCCAGATTTTCTGCAGGGAACAGAATTCACTTATATAATTTGTACCAAGTAGAAAACCAGCCACTCAGCCCAGAACATCTTTGCTAGCTAACCCAATAGAGATCACCTTCACAAATTTGTCCTAGCCTAGTGTTTCCATGACAATTGACTTTAAGGATTTTTTATTTCCTTATCAGTTTTTTTTCTCCTACATAAAAAGTATACACACATAATTCATTCAGAATGATGATCAATACAGAATGATATCAAGCAGAAAATCAAGTTTCCCATATTCCCTTCCCCAAGATTATCTGTCTCTGGTGTATTGTTATTATCTATGTATTGTTATTATTTCAAACTTTTTAAATTTATTTTACTTATTTTGTGGTGGTTGGGAATATACACAGCAAAACATACACCAGTTCAACAATTTCTACATGTACGGTTTATTGACATCGATTACATTCTTAGAGTTCTGTAACCATTCTTATCTTTTCTGAGTTGTTCTCCCTCATTAACATAAACTCAGTGCCCTCTAAGGTTCCTATCTAATCTTCCAAGTTGCTGTTGTTGATTTAATTCAGTATGTTGTTGTTGTTATTTGCCATCGAGTCGGCCCCAACTCATAGCGATCCCTCCTTGGGTTTCCGAGGCAGTATCATTACGGAAGTAGATTGCCCAACCTTCCTTCTGAGGAGTGGCTGGTGGGTTTGAACCACCAGCCTTCTGGTTAGCAGTCAAGGGCCTTAAGTAGTGTGCTACCAGAGCTCCTTA